CTGAACAACTTGCGTATAGGGTATCGAGGATATCTGTGAGGGACATTGATTTTAATTTGGCCAAGAAGATTAGTGCTTTTAAGTTTGTTGCTTAAAATTTTGTGAAGGAACATAAGGTCTGCCTTCGCGCGTCGGTTCTTCAGAGTTGTCATTTCGAAGAATGATAGCCGTTGGTTGTAGGGGCTCCTGTGGGATATACCTGGAGTTGAAAAGGCAAGATAGCGCGTGAATGCTCGTTGTATAGATTCAATGCGCTGGGATGGCGCACTATAGACTGGGTTCCAGGCGACGCTTGCGAATTCCAGATGGCTACGCACAAGGGTATTGAAAAGAATCTTTTTAGTTTGAATATTTCTGAAACTTCTCGCATTTCTTTTCAGAAAACCGAGCATACGAGCCGCGCTTCTTATTGCTTTCTCCGTATGAGCAGTGAGTTTCAATTTGCTGTCAAGTATCACGCCTAAGTNAATTAGAATCTAACCTTTTTTTTACCACCTTACTTTAATCGTAACTATTACAAAAACTAGTGATTTTTGTATAGATTTTGACAGACTTTTGACTTTTGTTAAAGTAAAGTAAGATGATGCAACTTAGCTTAAGTGGTGCATTGTTTGCAACTCTTTGTAGTCTCTTAGTCTGTATTATTATGTAGTACATTATGACCATCCGCCAACAATATACTCGAAGGTAGTAAACATCAAAGTGTCGCATCTGTTTTCAACTCTGTAGAGTCTCAAAGCCTGTATTATTATTTAGTGCATTATGGCCATCAGCCAACAAGATACTGGAAGGTAGTAAATAATTAAGTGGCGCATCTGTTTGCAACTCTTTGCCGCGTCTCGAAGTCGGCCGTTACGGGCGGGTTGAGGCTCAGTGAAAAACTGCGATCCTCCTGTTATGCTTTATGGACGCTGGGACCCGCAACTTATGTGGGGTGTACCAAAGAATTGGGGTAGTAGAACACGGATGTATTTGGTAAGGGTTTTGTCAATTTGAAAAGCCAACGCGCTTTTGAAGGGTTAGTAAATGTGACTACGGGATTGGCATGTACAAGATGGCTTGAATCAATTACTGGAAATGTGGTCGACTATATCTAGACATAAAGATGGAAGAAATATAATTATGATTATTGATAGGTACCTATTGGACATCCCAAGAATCACAACGGCATACAACTAGAAACTTTGGTAACGCATAAAAAAGGGTACAAAATAAAAAAGGCAATAGAATCAACAAAAAATCTTATTAATCTGCCATTAAAGCTAAAAATTAATTTTATTTGTTATCATCAAAAGTGCAGGCCAAAATAAGCCTTGAGTTCCAAAGCATAATTATTCCTTAACTCTCTATATCTAATTTTGCTAATTTTTGCCTCACATAAGATAAAGAATTGACGGTATTAGCTCCTGAAAGCGGTGTCGTTTGAAGCATTAGTGCCCTTAAGGAGAATACACTTTAAAAGTTGACGAGAATATTAGGCTTCTGCGAAAACTTTTGCTATTTTCAGCACCTTTTCGAGTAAAATCAAGAATAATGCGCCGAGACTTGGAGGTTGTTTAATATTTTCCATTTGCGATCTAAAAGTTTTGTCAATCTAATCTAAGTAGTTTGTATTAAGGGCTTTTGTTCGAAATTCCACGTATTTTTTGTTTGAGTGACCTTTAATTTGACCATCCAGTTAGATACTCATCACTACATATTATAAAACAAAAAGTCGCTTTGTTGTCTGTCTGTCCCTATGTATACTTATATCTTTAAAACTACGCAACGGATTTTGATGCGTTTTTTTTTGATAGATTGTGTGATTCAAGAGGAAGGTTTTTAAGTATAAACATTGTACCTGTGCAAAGCAGGGGCGGGTCGCTAGTAGATAATAATTTTAAGACAAAAGATAAGACAAAAGACAGGCTAGCTACCTTTGTAATAAACGTTACTTTTTCTAAGCATTATAATAACAAAACTTACAAAAACTGATGCATATCAAAATCAAGCAATATTCCAATGAGTCTTTCCCTTAAGTCTTTCTTTCGTCTTAAATTACTAATTAGAGCGCCTTTTGAATGCCGAGCGGGTGAAACGAAGGGGTGGCAATCAGGCTGCGGTGTGAAACTTATAATTGATACGTATTTTTGGATTTTTGAAGGAATATTCCATTTTATTCATGCTTTGGGCAGTTGGGGGTTGAAGGTTTAAAAGTTTTCCTGCTGAATTTTCTTGGAGAAAATCTTTTTTGAAGCTTTTCTTTCGCAGTGATTCAAATAAATCTAAGATTACGAACATACTTTACTTGTGAAATCCGACTACTATAGGGTCTTTCTTTTACGTAGCAGTAGTTAAAAATGTAAGCTAAACATTATTAAAATAAAAGTACCCATTTATATCGTCAGTCCACCTAGTGGAGGGCCTGCCTACTACGTCTTCCGGCGCGTGTCGTCGCCACTCGACAACTATTTTCCTGCCTTCAGCCCTACGAGCTATGTGCTTCCCTAAGTACCTATTATTAGCTTCTTGAGAATTGTTTTGCTTATTTGTTTTTAAGAACTTTCACAAGGGAACTAATATTAATATAGGTATAATACCTCGTTCGTTTTAGCCAAATGGACGTCCACTGACAAAGGCCTGCCCCAAGAATTTCCACAAAGACCGGTACTGCGCCGCCCGCATCCAGGCACCTCCCGCGACCTTCACCAGATCGTCGGTCCACCTAGTGGGAGGCCTGCTCACACTACGTCTCCTACCGAGTTATTTATATATATTATATATATACTCCCAAGCCGCTTTCGGCTACGGTAACCACGACAAAATTCCTTTAGTCCGCAATAAGAGGGCTACGCTGGGCTGCCCTATCATGTGCCCTCACATGGCTACAGTAGCCAATCTTGTTGGTAAACGTGCGCGAACAATGTCGACACGTTAGGACACCGCTGATGTAGTTGTAAAGTGATAGCCGCTGCTGGTCTGACTTTTCTGGCTTCAGCGCAACTGCTTACGTACTAAAATATGTCACGCGCATCTGACTGCTTCTGTTCTGTTCCTACCCAGTAATTACCCTTCAAATGTAAGTTTTCACAATGAAGAACATTATAACTTAGTATTCCTTCTCGTACATACAGAGACGTTACTTCGTCGCCTGAAGGCGGGTTTGGATGATTCGTCCTTAATGACAAAATTTAATCAGAGGGGAATTTCAAGTAAGTGAAGCGACGACATTTCCATACACTCTACATTTATTATGACATTAAATTAAGTCGCTACCTTTCAGTTGATTACAAATGCTGATTTACACGCTTACAGATAAAGATGATTGTGTAAAAATGTAGATAATGAAGTAATGAATAAAGCGTTATTATTTACTAGCTTTCCGCCCGCGGCTTCGCCCGCGTGGAATTTTGTCTGTCACAGAAAAACTTTATCGCGCGCGTCCCTGTTTCAAAAACCGGGATANCATACGAGCCGCGCTTCTTATTGCTTTCTCCGTATGAGCAGTGAGTTTCAATTTGCTGTCAAGTATCACGCCTAAGTCTCTGACTTCCTTAACTTCTGTTAGGGTGACACCATTCAAGGTGTAGGTGGTGTCAACAGGGTGTTTCTTTTTTGTGTAACTGATGTGGTAACACTTGGCAGGGTTTAGCAACATCCCATTCTGAGCACACCAATCGGAAATGTTACTTAAGTCGGTTTGCAAATGGTTCGCATCTTCGGGTCCCCTGATAGTTTTACTTATCTTAATATCATCAGCAAACATATATACACTGGCGTGACTTATTTTTGCAACTATGTCATTGATGAATATTAAAAACAACAAGGGACCCAGATGAGAACCCTGTGGAACGCCAGACACAGCGTAGAATACTTTTGACTCGTATCCATTTATGGCCACGGCCTGGGGTCTCTTTGACAGATAGGATGCAAACCAACGCAACAGCGACCCATAAAAACCCATGCCTTGAAGTTTGCACAAGAGAATGTCGTGATCGACCTTGTCGAACGCGCTTGAAAAGTCGGTATATATAGTATCCACTTGCAAGCCCATGTCAACCTCCTGAGATACAGTAGAAACAAAAGATACCAAATTAGATTCCACAGATCGGCCACGCATAAAACCGTGTTGTACCTCTGATAAACTATTTTCGGTATAGTTGTAGATTAAGGGGTATACGAGGCATTCGAACAACTTAGAGAAGCACGACAATATTGATATCGGCCGGTAATTAGCGACATTAATTCTGTCGCCTTTTTTATAAATTGGTAAAATTCTGGCTTTTTTCCATTCATTTGGAAACATTCCATCGCGTAAAGAACGATTAAATATTATCGTTAATGGAATGACCAGTGAGGCACCGCATCTTTTTACGAAAAAAGGTGGTATGTCATCTGGGCCGGGACCTCTAATCCATATCTGTGGCCGGGACCCTTTTTNATCTGGGCCGGGACCCTTTTTGGTATTTAGTAGTTTTATTTTTGCTAGGACGTGCGTCTCGGTTAATTGCAAGTTAGTAATGTGCTCATTAGTGCTCGTATCTGAGCTGAGAATATTGATGTTATTGGTAGTTGAGTATACCGAAGAAAAGTGGCTTGCAAATAAATTCGCTATCTCAAGCCCTGAGGACGCGGTCAAGCCATTCAGTTTCATTTCAGAGGGCAGAGCCGAGAGACCTTTGCGTTTATCTTTTATGAAACGCCAAAATTTATCAGGATTTCTACAAATGCTTGTTTCGATTTCCTTCATGTAGTTATTATGACAAATTACAGAAAGTTTATGACAACGTTCCCTAAGTAAATTGTATTCATATTTGTCTCTTAAGTTATTATATCTAATGTATCTTTTACGAGCTTTGTTCTTTTCACCAAGTAGTTTTATCATTTTTTTTGTAAACCATGGTGGAAAGTTGGACTGTTTTGATATATTTTTGGGTACATTATTGACAATTCCAGTTTTCAACCTCTCGTAAAACTCAGCAACAAGTTCGTTTNATTAGTTGGGATTAGTTGGGATTATTATTAAGAAGTTACTTTACACAACTCGTAGGTATTATTAAAAATATACAGTACTATAAAACATACGGGCATTAAGGGTATACTTAACAATGATAATATACCTACGTAGAATACTGTAACTTTCAAAAGTTGAAAGATGATAAGTGTTACATAAATAACTAGACCTTTCTGTGGGATTTGTATAACCCTGCTTTAATAGTTACACTAAATTTGCTTTAAAATTACATTGCTATAAAATAATTACAGGCGTTTGTTACAATTTTAAAAATAACAAAAACTATTTTGAAGATTTAAAAAATTAAACATATTAAATAAATTGATTGAATGTCTCCAAAATAGGACTCTCTCCCATCCAAGGACTTTTCGTAAATGATTTAGTGATAAGAATATCGCAATGGGTTTGGTAGTGGTAAGGCGTGTCGTGAACGACGAAGATGGTCGCTCCTATGAAGAAAGGACTAAGTAACGGGAATGTTACTAGGAGTCTGGTAATAATGCGGGGTTTCATTCAAGGTGGTCGCTCCTATAACTCCGCCAGCAGCCACCAGCAGCAACCGCCGTCTCCTATGATGCCTCAGCAGCGAGGGAACACTGGCGAAGCTTCGTTCCCCGCGCCGAGCGTAGCCCAAAGCCAGCCGGCCGTCGGGGCGCCGGCGCACGCCTACGTTATGCACTGCGTTCGCGCATGACACGGTTAGCGTGTACGCGTGGTTGGGCTGAAAAAACAAAGAAGTTTCATTAGTTAATTCTTCCACCGTGTAGTTACAACGCAGGAGAACCAAAGGGACCGATATAGCCTACAGAATTGCTTAAAATCAAGTGGCAGTGGGCGGGGCATAGCTCGAAAAGTTCTCGAGTGGCGACCACGAGCCGGAAGACGTAGAGTGGGCAAGCCCCCCACTAGGTGGAGCGACGATCTGGTGAAAGTCGCGGGAGGTCGTTGTGGAAATCCTTGGGGGAGGCCTTTTCCAGCAGTGGATGGGTTGGTGGTGGTGGTGGTGGACGTTTCCACCGCTGCGACTCCTGTGTAGCCGGGATCTACAGCTTGGCCGCCAATAAGAACCCAACCAGTGTAGGTAATTAATATTTGTTCCAAGAGAAAGTTACCTCTCATTGGACTCGAAAAGTTAAACGATATTCGGGGAAATTCAACATCGGATCGGAGCTAAGTGTGTTAGTGTGATTAAAGAAACTATTTACTCTCAGAATTGTGTTCACAAAATTATAGTACGACGTATTATTCTTTGCCTTGTCCCCACCTTTATTTTTGCCCTAGTCCGACATTCTCTCGCACAAATAGTACAGTAATAAGTTTGCTCACTCGACAAACCCTAAAAGCCTCACGACACCCTGTTTTATTTCTCCTGGCAACAATATTATTTTATCATCCCATCCGCAGCAAACTTAATAATGCTGGCTACAGTAAAAACATGCGTTTTCGTTCCTTTATACTTGTATTTGCTATGGTGGACACAATGCGAATGTATTCAGAAACTTTTAACTGAACGTTTAACTTCAAAACAGCTATTTCCAATGTAAAGTTGAATATTATGCAGTAAAAAAGCACTAACATTTTATACATTCAATATTTTTATCCCATACCTACTTATTTTCATCCCTTCAAGTTTTGAGACAAAAGAAACCTAATTTCGTTCTCGTATGTCCAGTATCTCATTAAAACGTTTCATTTAGATCAAAATAAAAGTAGTTAAAATAATAGGTAGTTGGCAGTATTAAGAAATGGATGAAGGATTTCATTTTTCCATGTTAAAAATGGAATGGGTAAAGAAACATAATAGTCGGCCGTTTGGTGTAGTGGTTCGAAACGGACTACTATTCCGGAGGTTGCGGGTTCGATTCCCGCACAGTACAAACATTTGTGTGCATGAACATATTTGTTTGTATTGGACTGGGTGTTTTCTATGTATAATAAGTATGTATTTACAAAAAAAAAAAGTATTTAAGTATGTTTATATCCGTTCTCTAGTACCCATAGTACAAGCTTTGCTTAGTTTGGGACTAGAAGCGCAGTGTAAAATGTCCAAGGATATTTATTTATTATTTATTTAAACATGGGAAAAAAGAAGTTGAGTCGACATCACATCATGTCACCTAACTACACAAAAATGCCTTTTTGTCCACCTTTTTCTGCCGGTCTGTACTTACAATCAAATATCACACGAAAATATCTCTTCTCGCTCATCTTAGCCTCCCTACGTTATGTCCCTGCCCATTCTGCGCCACTAACAATATGCCTACACGGGCAGGTACACATTAGGGAAATTACTACTTCCACAACGTTCACATATCTGCTACTTCCATCTTATTTTATCGCGTGCCGTGAGTAAGCAACGGAGTGTGTGACGTCCGCCATATTGTATTGTGTCATTCAACGTAAAACTATGTGTACCTAGATGAATTGGCACATTTTCTGCTATACGATGAAATAGAAGTTACGTCAACCTCAGCCTTATTCATTACGTAGTTTTGATATAATATTGAGCATAATTCCCAGGTTTGGAAGAATAATTTTATAAGTTAAAATGTTAACTGTTTACTAACGCCCTGTATTATAGAACGTTTTAAGCTGTCAGCTATAGCTGCGCTACCTCAAGTGCAAAACACATTGAGAACATTTCGACGGGAATTTCGTAATATTTGAAGTTGCTATATGAGTACTAACAATCATCAGAAAAATTCGATGAATATAATCAGAAATTCATATTAAATTATGTTCGCCTGAGAACTGAGGCGTTGAAGTGATTTGATACAACAAAACAAAATCACTTCTCGCAAATCCACTACCGGATCGTTTACTCTCTGTGCATTCGCCGCTTTATTCTGTAAACCAAAAAGAACATACCTGACTAGAAGGTCTCAATATAAACGTCCCATCGGGCTGTCCCCTCAGCAAGTTCTCCGCTTCAGTCCGCTCCACGTTCATGTAGTAAGGCTCGTTCTCCACCGGCACCGGAAGCGGCCGATCCGCCATGTTGTGCTTCTCCGCTCGCACTTCCGTTTTCTCCAGTGGATTATTCTTGTCGTCCTCATGTTCGGATTCGTCGGATTGATTCGCGTCGCTCGTTTCTGGGGATTTATAAGTAATTAGTTATGCGGGGCGGATCTGAATATGGATCGGGCTCGAAGGACTAATGACGGTAATAAGTATGGATTAAGAAATACGTAATGGAGTGTCTAATTTGAGATGATATTATTTTGTGTAAGATAAGAAAATTCTGTAGAGGGTATTTTTAGGTTAATCCGTTTAAACAAAAGGTTTAAAAAGTTATGAAATTGAGGTTGCGGTTTTTATATCTCCATAATATAAGTTACGTAGATATGTAGGTACGTTTGAGAATACTCATGTAGCAAAAACCCTAGTACTTAATGTACAAATTGTATGTAGGTAAGGTTTCAGGTCTGTTTGTCAAACATGACGTCTCACCTGTGACGACATCGGTGAAGCAGTGCAGCGTGTGGTAGACGGAGTCCACCAGGCTGTCTGCGACCCTGGCGACCAGGTTGAACACCAGGGGAACGCTCACTCGTAACCACCAGCACATCATCAGGTGCTTACGGTCACATTTTATGGAAACACACGTTTCTGTTTTGTTTAGTTTTTACACTAAGTATTTGCACTCATATGTACCTAAGTTTGTATTTTTCCAGTCTAGTCACCAATACTTCTCTAATATCATTGTTAACTCGATTTCCTTTATTCTTTATGTGTCCGTTTTATGGCGTTACCGCCAAAATTGAGCCATTTCAAGTTTTTATAGCAAAATTACTGAAACGGCACAAATCAAGCGGTTTTATCGCTAAAACGATCACTTTAGGAAGTATACCTACTAAGTAGGAGAAAAAAATAAAACCGACTCCAAAAAACCTACACTAAAAAGTAGAATAATAATTACTAATTACCCACTTATTTATTAGGACGAATTCTTTCAATTATTAATATTTATGTAGGTATACCATGATTGATACTTCTGGAGTCGGTGCCAAGATTATGAAACATGTAAAGTTTGCCTGCACCGACTCCAAAAGTATCAATCATGGTATACCTACATAAATATTAATAATTGAAAGAATTCGTCCTAATAAATAAGTGGGTAATTAGTAATTATTATTCTACTTTTTAGTGTAGGTTTTTTGGAGTCGGTTTTATTTTTTTCTCCTACTTAGTAGGTATACTTCCTAAAGTGATCGTTTTAGCGATAAAACCGCTTGATTTGTGCCGTTTCAGTAATTTTGCTATAAAAACTTGAAATGGCTCAATTTTGGCGGTAACGCCATAAAACGGACACATAAAGAATAAAGGAAATCGAGTTAACAATGATATTAGAGAAGTATTGGTGACTAGACTGGAAAAATACAAACTTAGGTACATATGAGTGCAAATACTTAGTGTAAAAACTAAACAAAACAGAAACGTGTGTTTCCATAAAATGTGACCGTAAGCACCTGATGATGTGCTGGTGGTTACGAGTGAGCGTTCCCCTGGTGTTCAACCTGGTCGCCAGGGTCGCAGACAGCCTGGTGGACTCCGTCTACCACACGCTGCACTGCTTCACCGATGTCGTCACAGGTGAGACGTCATGTTTGACAAACAGACCTGAAACCTTACCTACATACAATTTGTACATTAAGTACTAGGGTTTTTGCTACATGAGTATTCTCAAACGTACCTACATATCTACGTAACTTATATTATGGAGATATAAAAACCGCAACCTCAATTTCATAACTTTTTAAACCTTTTGTTTAAACGGATTAACCTAAAAATACCCTCTACAGAATTTTCTTATCTTACACAAAATAATATCATCTCAAATTAGACACTCCATTACGTATTTCTTAATCCATACTTATTACCGTCATTAGTCCTTCGAGCCCGATCCATATTCAGATCCGCCCCGCATAACTAATTACTTATAAATCCCCAGAAACGAGCGACGCGAATCAATCCGACGAATCCGAACATGAGGACGACACTCAGTGAAAACAATAATCATATAGTTATTCAATAGTATGTTTTTGTACACTTCATTCGTCTTCGTTCTGATGCCACGTGTATTTTGATAGTATATATTGAATTTCACAATTAAACACTGTAACATTCTTGCTAATACTTAGTCTATTTGATTGACGCTACACTATCCATATTACGGATGAGCAGTGCCTCGCTGAATTCATCTTTTCGGATAAAAATTCTGCCGTTGCGCACCCATGTGAATTTGTATTTGCATTCCTTGGCTTTCAGTCGTGTGGCAGCGTGCAAAGCTTTGTTTGTTGGAGATAGATGTTCTTCTTCTGCATTCTTACCTTTTGTATGCCAAAAAAAAATTGATGGTTGGTTGGCCACGTAGTATTAAAGGTTTGTAATGCTAATAATAACATTTAAATCGTGTAACTCCTATTAAATACAAATAATAAAATCTTCAAAATGGCAGATTAGCAAACAATATTATAATCGAACCCTTTCACTATAGAGCAAATACTCTTCAATTTGTATGGGATGAATGTATGGGTTGAATGTATGGACTCTATGAATGAACGATAATCCTTTTGGAATTTAAGTGAACAGCTAGCATCGAATTCAGACTTGAAAGTTTGAAGAACTTAATTGTAAAGATCTTAAAAAGCTTTCATGTAATAAGAATTATTAAAGTTTCAAGTAAGCTATGATATTATCTCAAATTATACATACGCCCGTATTCACAAACGATGCTTGCTTACGTGAAGCAGCAAATTGAACGCACAGCGTTGAATAGAGCTCTGTGATTGGTTCGTGTGTCACCCTGTGCGTTCACGCGCACTGTGACACCTCATAGTAATGTTTCTGAATACGGGCGTTAGTACTAAGTACTACTGTCATCTTGGCTGCATAACACCTGATGGAAAGATAAACTACTTATCTAACCTCCAACTGCTGAAACATCAATCTCTACTAATATTATTAATGCTTTGTCTGTCTGCTACGCTTCCACGCCGCAACTACTAAACCGATTTTGATGAAAGGTATAGAGATTTAAATCCCTGATTAGGACAGGATAGTTTTTATCCCGGTCTTAGAAGTAAGGGCGCGCGCGATAAAGTTTATTCTCTTCATGCGGTTGAAGCCGCAGGCAAAAGCTAGTGTTGAATATTTGATTTTAGAACATGAAACTGGATATTAAATGCACAAATTACAGCACACTGAAAAAAAAATTACTGAAGACAACAAAATGGACAGCAAATTTACAATCCCGTCCAGTGGGGGGTGGGTGGTAATTACCGACACCTTGTTCCGACTCGAGGTGGCAACCTCATTAAAGTCCTCCTTAAGATTATTATCTCTTAGTAAGGAAATATTATTAAGAGCACAATAGATTCTTTTGATAGAGTAGTTTTAGTTGCAGAGAAAAGTTGTAAGGGTGTAAATTAGACGAGTCTTCCAGTGACTTGGCCCACTTTTAGCTTTGTCCACGTGCCAAGTCACGGGTTTGATTTTATTAGGTAGGTACTTGTGTGCTACGTGTGTACTCTTTAAGGCTTTTTGGGAATTCCAAGAAGTTGTGTTGCTCCTGTTCATTAGATTATTTGTTGTGAATAGTCTATCGATTCTTTATAAATAAAATCATTCTCTTTAATTAGTAATGGGTTACAGTGTTTTAGCCAACATCTCATTTTTTTAGACGTACCACATCTGTAACCAGTGATTCAATTCTAAAAAACCGTTTCACCTATAAAAAGCTCTATCAACGAGTGTCATTTGCCCATTTTCACCATCAATCCGTTATTTTTAAGTGACCCCTATGAAAACAAAGTTCCTATTAAGTGTTACCATAGAGGTCATTTAAAAATTAGGGAAACGGGCAAAAGTCTACTTTTTACCACTAAACACATCCCCAATGTTACCAAAATGCCTATGCCAAAACACTCAAACCCGCGGGCGAAGGCTAGCCAATAAACAGTACAAAGCACCCATCCCTCTCTGCGACCTCCCTCTCCCTCTAATGTTATTAAGCATCCATTTTTGTAAGCGCGCCGAGCCCGATCCAATTTCAAACTCATTTGTTACGAGTAAAACAATTATTAAAAAACGCCAGTGATTTGGCTAGCAATTTTTGTCATTTTACATCACTTAGTAAGGCTTAGGATGCTGTGGAGTCGCTTTTGTGAGAATAATTTGACAATATTTTTGTAGCTCACGAGATAAGTCTCCTTATAATATAACCCTATTGTGGAAACTAAAAGTGGTTCTACCATTAGTCAATGATGATTGATCTACTCGTACACTAACTAATATTATAAAGAGGAAAGATTTAATTATTTGTGTGAATTGAATAATCTTCAAACTACTGAACTTCTTCTTAATCTCGTGTCAACAGCAAACCTACACAGCGTCAGCCCAAAACTCCGCCACAAGAGTGGCGTTGTCATTGACTACTGGACTGATTTGAAAAACTCTTTCACCATTAGAAACCTACATTATTTCAAATTAACAAAGGCGGCACGAAGTTCGCCGGGTCTGCTAATGATAATAATTTGACAAAAATGTTTTTAACTCGTGAGATAAGCCTCCTTGTAAGTTATTACGAGTATAACCCTATTGTGGAAACAAAAAGTGAGAATGGCACTACCATCATCAGTCAATGATGATTGATTAAGTTACAAAATTGTAGCTAGGGTAAGTGTTACCACAAATCGTAAGTAATTACTTTTAAGAACTGTCCAAATGCTAGTCCAGATTTAAATTAATTGTGTTGCAAAAAAACCTATGGCAACACTTTGTTCGTCATTCTTCTCCACAAGAAGCCCATGAAAATGCATCCAATTTGTGCGATTCCAAAAGCTTCATTTCAATCCCCTGCGACGCACTCCTAACACAGAAGCTATTTGGAGAGATTAATCTGCACTACAAACTACTTATTAATAAAAAAATCAGTAAATCAAAAACTGCTTGGGTTTTCAGTGCTGAAAAAAACGTCTTTCAATGAGTACTTCATTGAAAGACGTTTTTTGGGATTAATAAGAATTATTTTTATTAATCCCAACTATCAGCAGGGAAGCGCTGGACGCAGGCTGCTACCAATCGATCAACG